TGGGGATGGGGGTTGGGGGGGGGAGTAGGGTGGCTACCAAGCACAGCTTCAGGCCAGTCTGAATGAGTAGCGAGATGGGGAAGATAGTTACTATAGCAACACTACAGCAAATCAGGCTACAGACACACATACATGTGCGCCATTCTCGTTTTCACATGTATACACTGCAAAAAGTCATTGAGTCTTAAGTCTTAAAATCTTCTTTTCCTTAAAGCAAGGAAAAGTCCACTGAGGAGATGGAATTTAGGAATTTTCAAGTGTTAAGTATAAGGTGTAAAAAATGTAAATAGAGAATAGGTTCAAGAAAATTCATAATATTCTCTCTTTATCTCACTTTGATTTGATTGTAAGACTCAATGTTGAATTAAATAATACATTTCATATTGAAAATGACCATGGTGAAACTTTTTACAGTGTATGTAAGCTACAAACACACGCAGGCTATGCTGACTAAGTATGCAAACACACATTCGGAGTGTGTTCTTACACATGGACCTCTGCACTGCGCTTGTCGTTGGACTTCATTCTCTGCTGACATAAGCAGCAGCTCAAGCTCCTTAATTCTTTGCTCTCTGTCAGGATCATCCAGGCAGGATGGCTGAAATAAACAAACGTCAGGGAGGAGAGGTCGAGAGGACAGGAGGAAAGGAAGAAGTTAAGAAAAACCAGACAAAAAAATAAAACAGATTCACACATAAAATATTTATGGGAGCATTTGAGATTTACCCCCTTTTAGCTATTATTTAATGTTAGTTGAAAATAACAGGACATTCAAGTGTTTGATTTGAAGTCCAGAGTTAGCAATCACAAAGATAACTACAGAAAGCCCAGAAAATAAAGAATGTGACAAGTCTTTCCCATTAGCATGCAAAGAAATACACAAAGACTCACCGACATGAAGTCTGAATTATCAGGAAGACTATCCATCAAGTGTCCACTGTGAGGATCATAAGAATATCCCCCTATCTAAAATACAGAGAATCATATATAGTTTTTCAAAATCAATATAATAAGCACAACAAATCAGAAAATAAATCAAAACACCATATTGTGTCAAGTCTAGAAGGGAAGTGAACCTGGTTGGGTCCCGGTATAGGTAGAGGACTGCGGTCACAGTGCTGCAGCTCTGTTGGAGTTGGAGGACACGGCCTGTGGTGGCGTCTCTTCACTCCACCGTGAGAAGAATTCAAACTCTTGGAGCCATCTTGCAGGTACCCCTCATGCTCCACCTTCCTCCTCATGGTGGAGTTCCAGTGGTTCTTGATGGAGTTGTCCGTCCTGTTGGGGAGAAGATAAATAACATTTCAGATAATTACCAGTTTCGTGACCCAAACTGTAAGCAGAAATATTCAATGTGCGCACAAGATTTTTTACCGTCCAGGAAGAAGCTTGGAGATCTCTGCCCAGCGGTTGCCAAGACGTTTGTGGGCATCATAGATGATTCGGTCCTCTTCCTGAGTCCATGAAGACTTCTTCACCTCTGGATTAAGGTGGTTGTGCCACCGTTCACGGCACTGCTTTCCAATTCTGCCCTGGAGGTGCTTAGCGATCACCGACCAACGCTTGGGGCCATACTTGTGTACCAGGTCAATAACCTGCACAGACATCAACAAAGACATTTAGATTATAAATCTATACACTGCTGCATATTCTGGTAGTGATGTGTATGAAGTAAGGCACTAATTGGATTCATCCAAACTACAAGCTTGTATAAAGAGATGAATCACATCTTTCTTTTCTCATGTATAGTCAACAGAAGGGCCAGTGTTTAGAAAGCGTTGACTGGAGCAGCAGCAGCAGCACAGCTTGTTTGGCTGTTTCTGTCAAGGCTGAAAAATGTTGTGATGTCATCATTGGCAGCCCAGGCTATTATTGATAGGCCGGTGTTTCTGTTATGATGCCAAGATGTTGGAGGAATGAGGCACCATTCTTGACATTCTTGAAGAATCGTGATCCATTTAAGGATTGCATTGTACAACTCAGAGCTGGGGAAGATATTAAGAGCTTCAGTCTGTACAAAGAAGGGCCTGGCTCTAAACTTGTGACTTGGAAAGTCTGTGTTTTATTAGGAATGACGTAGTGGAGCATTTACTTTGCTAAAAAGGAAAAAAGAAAAAAGGAAAGAAAAAAGCAGCCAAGTAAAAGAAAGTTTTAGCGGGAAGTAAGCATGCGCATGTGCACAGCCTTGTTATTCTGATGGTAAGATACATTACATATTGTGGCATTTTTGTTTGTATTGTGTTGTTCTCCACACAGCTTCCTTCTGTCTCCCCTATCATTTACCTATTTTATTATTCCTCTTTCTACCCAGAACAGGAATCTCCCAGCTCCTATTACCTTTTGATCCTCCTCTTTTGTCCAGGGTCCTTTCACCAGCTCTGGGTTGAGCACCTTCTGCCAGCGGTGCTGACACTGGCCATCTGTCCTCCCCTGTGACAGAGCCACACAAGACACGACACCTCATTACACCACACCACTAACTCAGTTACACTTACTCCTGCCAGCTGTAAATACATCTTTCTCTCCAGTCACCACACGCATTACTTTACCATCACTGTTCCTACATCCCATTGAGGAACTATGTTAATTAACTAAATGGTTTGGATCGTTATTAAATGTTAAAATGGGAAGACACGGATCAGATGACAGTATTAAGATACTACTCTTAATACTCTTATTACACAATGCAGACACATTACATGACATACTTACTGGGAAAAAGTTAGCTATTAGTTTCCAGGAGTCAGTTCCATGTTGCTCTACAAGTTTTTTCAGTTTTTCATCCTAAGAAGGGAGGAGAAAAGGAAACAGAGTGAGAACACCTTACATCCTGAGGGACCTTTGTCATTTACATTGACACACTTTCCACTTTCACTGCATAACTGAATGAAAAAATAGCAGTGATTATTAATAAGGTTACCCTAATGTGTGTGGAGCACACACTTAAACTCATTCTTAATTGCAAGAAGATAAAATACTAATCTCATGCAGTACAAAGTCCCCATTTCACTCACTCAAACAAACCACAAAACCAGACCAGACCTCACTTGTGCCTCTGATAAACGTACCTCATCTCGGGACCACTTTACTTTGCACAGGGTCTTTTTGTCTTTGCTCTTCTCTTTACTCTCTGGGTCTGTGGAGTGTAGCTCTTCATCCTCATCATTGCTAAA